AGAATGGAGATTATTTCATTTAATAAATGTTTTGTTTTTATATATAAGTTGTTCAAGTTTTTTAATCTGAAAAAAAGCAACATTAATTTCTTGATGACCTAATACATCTTATTTGTATTAAAACATATTCCAAGTGTATATTATAGTGACATGTTACACATTATTTGCTTTTAGGCCTAATATTTTTATATGTTAGCATTTAAAAATTAATCATTCAATTTCTAAGTACCACATAAATGCTTTATTTTTTGTTTTTTCTGCACATCTTTTTTTAATGGGGAAACTGAGAAGTTATGATTAAAATACATAGTTTAAACAGTTCTAATCTACTAAAGTAATTGATAGGTATTTTTCCTTTATGTGTATGTTCTTATTTTTTTCTTTGATCAAATGATAGCTTAAATCTTTACTGTCCTATTATATTTAAGTTTCACATACTTCACAAACTTATTTTTCCCATTTGGCATGGCTTTGTATTAGAAGAGGTTATTACAATATGTAGTTAGTTTTATATACTAAATACTAATATATTTAAATAAACATAGTATTTAGGAATGAGTTTAATTCTTTGTGACCTCCATGCTACAAAGCTTAAAGAAAGAGCAGTGGAGGGACAAGCTATGTTTGGAACATTGGACACTTGGTTGTTATGGAAACTTACAGGAGGCAAAGTTCATGTCACTGACAGCTCATGTGCTTCAATTAGTGGAATGTATGACCCATTTCAGGTAATAAATGTATTCAAGAAGAGCACATGACCAATATGATATGTTTATAGTTATTTAAATATTAATAGTTTTTTGAGACTGTATATTCAATTAATTACTGTAAACAGTTTAATATGTAACTTTTAAATATGACTATTAAACACATTTGACTGCACTTACTTTTTAATGTTTTATTGTTATTTTTTGATTATATATGTCACCAAAATTGCTTATGCTTTCCAGAGTGGTCATTTGAGTATATCTAGGTTTTGTAATTTCTAAAAATATTTGATCGTCTTAATTTATACAATCAATTAGGAAATGGCTAAAACTGCTTATTATAGTATCTGTGCAACTCTCTTGTGTCAGCTTTAAAACCTAACTCAAAATTAAAAATATTCATTGTGTTAATTATTAGTAATACAGCTTAAAAATATTTCTTATTTCGTTTTAATTCTTCAATCTGATCAGCTTTTCATGTTGTAATCTAATTTTTAGTAAAATGTTACTTGAACAGATGCAACTTTCTTCCATGATATGTGTTTTCTCTGGTATTATGGGACCAGTACAAATTTTAATTTTTAAGACTGTTAGTAATGCAATTGTACATCATTAAGTGAGAAAAATTTTTAAATGATTCTTACTGTGTCTGAAATTAAAATTGATAAATTATGTTGTAGCTAACTTTTGATTCTATTCCGTAAGAAAAATACTGATCATAGCAAATGTACTTACAGTAAATGATTCAACGTGATAGTCATTGCAAATTTCAAGTTATCTAATTGCTTATATTGTGCATAGGTTATAATTATTGTCAAATCATATTAATTAATGTGTACTTAATTTAAACTCTTTTAATTACAATATAAGATTGATGTGGACACTTATCATTAAGTAAAAATAAAAAAAAATGTAAAGTTACTAATCTCAAACCTCATCCAATTTTATTCTCATTGTATTCTAGTTCCAGAATATGTTCAATACACTTTGTTCATAAGGTTTAGTGTTTGTAAACCGTTAACCTTTTGTTTATGTCAAGAGTATTTTGTTTCAGAAAGTTGCTCATCAGGTTTAGTGGTCCTGGCTTTTAATTAAGTAATAAACTAGTTATCATGAAGACAGACATATTTTGTAATCTTGCACTTTGACCTTTATGATTCCTAGTGTATTCTAGTTTCTGAACATGCCAAGGACAATTTGTTTGTTAAGTTTTGATGATCCTAACCAATAGTTACCTGTTGTCTCATCATCATGCTGACAACAGATAGGTAGCTGTTTATTCTTCACTTTTGCTGTGATTAGTTTTTACATGAGTAAACACTGCTAACTTGTACTGTAAATTACTATATTGTCTTCCAAGATGCGCTGGGCAAGCTGGCTTATTAACATGTTGAATATTCCTCCTTCCTTACTGCCAGTTGTGAAAGATACAAGGTGAGTCTGTGTGACAGAAATTAATGATTTATAGAATACTATATTGTTAAAACATTGTGAAAATGATTGCCAGTATATATAA